CAAGCAGGGTAACATCGGCAGCGTATGAGACGCTGGCAAACGTTAGAACCTCCTTTAGAAGCCTAAATATTGATTCAAGACAATCTTCACAATCTTTGTTAGACCAATACTGGAGAGTATGCAGCACCGGGCTGGAACCCACCCTGGAAACACAAACCGAAACTGTCTCTATTTTCCGCTTGTTACAACTTGTAATAAAGTTGTTACATCTTGGCTTAACGTGTTTATGACGTATTAGAACGTTGTTACAACTTGATATATTGGTTGTTATAACTGGTTAGGAGGTGTTAAAACTTGTTCGAACGTTGCACCAACGTCGTAGTTTCGGTGTGTGTTTGGCGGGCACACACCTTGCTATACAATAAGCAGTAACTGATAAAGTACAAAAGTTACCAACAAGAATAGTGCAAGAGCTAAGAGCGTCAAGCTATGAGAATAGGTTTAAGGAAGTAGACCTTGCAGCCCTGGAGAACAGAACAGAGGAGATATGATCACAGCATAGTAGATACTGAGGAGAATACACAAGGTAGACAAGGACAGCTTGTTTAAATTAGGACAAAGTTGCACAAGAGAACACGAGTGGAAACTGGAAACGTAAATGAGCTCAAGAAATATAAGGAAATCCTCATAGGCTGCGAGCAGCCGCGTCCAACAGCCTGGTTGATCAGTCCGGCAAGCAGGAGGCCTGGTCGACGACCGGGCCGCGGGGGGGGGCGCTAAGCCCCGGAAGCACCTCAAGGTAACCTCAGGTAAGGTACCCTGTACAGCTAGTCAACAAATGGATTGAACTGAAAGTAGCTTCAGAAGCCACCTCCATCCAGCAACTTCAGACCGAATTCGGTAACGAATTTCAATAGTTAAATAATAACGCAACAGGGTCACAAGAACCAGGCCTCACGCCTCGTAGTCACGGGTGGGTAAGTACTATTAAGTAAGCCCCAGCGGCGCCACAGAGCACGGTGGGGGAGGGGGGACCTCTCTACATCCAATACTCCAATGCACAAATATTTTAGTTATTAACCAAAATATTACAAGGGATGCGAATGCCATATTTTGACGCAGGAATTGCATGTTGTTTTACATTAATCCATAAATATCCTAGCGGAGTTATTAGGATATTTCAAAAGTGACCTTTATACCAGCTGTGACCTTTATATAAGCTGTGACCTCTATATAAGCTGTGACCTCTATACCAGTTGTGACCTCTATACTAGCTTTGACCTATACTAGCTGTGACCTCTATACTAGCTGTGACCTCTATACTAGCTGTGACCTCTATACTAGCTGTGACCTCTATACTAGCTGTGACCTTTATACTAGCTGTGACCTTTATATAAGCTGTGACCTCTATACCAGTTGTGACCTCTATACTAGCTGTGACCTATACTAGCTGTGACCTCTATACTAGCTGTGACCTCTATACTAGCTGTGACCTCTATATAAGCTGTGACCTCTATACTAGCTGTGACCTCTATACCAGCTGTGACCTCTATACTAGCTGTGACCTTTATATAAGCTGTGACCTCTATACTAGCTGTGACCTCTATACTAGCTGTGACCTTTATATAAGCTGTGACCTCTATACTAGCTGTGACCTCTATACTAGATGTGACCTCTATACTAGCTGTGACCTTTATATAAGCTGTGACCTCTATACCAGCTGTGACCTCTATACTAGCTGTGACCTCTATACTAGCTGTGACCTCTATATAAGCTGTGACCTCTATACTAGCTGTGACCTCTATACCAGCTGTGACCTCTATATAAGCTGTGACCTCTATACCAGCTGTGACCTCTATACCAGTTGTGACCTTTATATAAGCTGTGACCTCTATACCAGCTGTGACCTCTATATAAGCTGTGACCTCTATATAAGCTGTGACCTCTATACTAGCTGTGACCTCTATACTAGCTGTGACCTCTATACTAGCTGTGACCTCTATACCAGCTGTGACCTCTATACCAGTTGTGACCTCTATATAAGCTGTGACCTCTATACCAGCTGTGACCTCTATATAAGCTGTGACCTCTATATAAGCTGTGACCTCTATATAAGCTGTGACCTCTATATAAGCTGTGACCTCTATATAAGCTGTGACCTCTATACAAGCTGTGACCTCTATATAAGCTGTGACCTCTATACGAGCTGTGACCTCTATACCAGCTGTGACCTCTATACCAGCTGTGACCTCTATACCAGCTGTGACCTCTATACCAGTTGTGACCTCTATAACATCTGTGACCTCTATATAAGCTGTGACCTCTATATAAGCTGTGACCTCTATACCAGTTGTGACCTCTATACCAGTTGTGACCTCTATATAAGCTGTGACCTCTATATAAGCTGTGACCTCTATATAAGCTGTGACCTCTATACCAGCTGTGACCTCTATACCAGCTGTGACCTTGGGCCTCCAAGAGACCCACGACCTCTAATCTCTCGAGGTATTCACCAATGTGTAACTTATAATCTTTAATATATTAAATCAAGCAAAGGAAAACAAAAAAAATGGGACTAACAGGACAAAATAAAATAGAAAATGCATATATATATATATATATATATATATATATATATATATGTCGTACCTAGTAGCCAGAACGCACTTCTCAGCCTACTATGCAAGGCCCGATTTGCCTAATAAGCCAAGTTTTCATGAATTAATGTTTTTTCGACTACCTAACCTACCTAACCTAACCTAACCTAACTTTTTCTGCTACCTAACCGAACCTAACCTATAAAGATAGGTTAGGTTAGGTTAGGTAGGGTTGGTTAGGTTCGGTCATATATCTACGTTAATTTTAACTCCATTAAAAAAAATTGACCTCATACATAATGAAATGGGTAGCTTTATCATTTCATAAGAAAAAAATTAGAAAAAATATATAAATTCATGAAAACTTGACTTATTAGGCAAATCGGGCCTTGCATAGTAGGCTGAGAAGTGCGTTCTGGCTACTAGGTACGACATATATATATATATATATATATATATATATATATATATATATATATATATATATATATATATATATATATTCATTCTCGTTATCAATTTATCAAGCAATCGAGGAGGTCCTGGATGCAAAAATCACTGATCTAAGGAGAATGCTGAACAGGATTGACAAGATTGATGCCCATGATGCTCTCTTCCTCCTCACAAGATGCCTATCTCTCCCTAAGTTGACCTACTTTCTGAGGTGTTCTCCATCCTACAGCAGCCCTAAGTTAAATGTGTATGACACCCTTCTGAGGTCCATGCTGGTGAAAGTCCTGAACCTGCCATTGGACGACTCTCAGTGGGAGCAAGCAACCCTCCCTGTAAGACTCGGCGGCCTTAGTGTCCGCACAGCCTCCCAAATTGCTCTACCAGCCTTTCTTTCCTCCTCCCATTCATCGCACGACCTCGTAAGAGATATCCTACCAGAACCCCTGAGTGATTCAGCAGGAATACACGATCCTGCTTTCACTGAATGTTCAAATCAGTGGGATGCTCTTGCAGCCCCAGCAACCATTATAGAGCCAATGAAAAAACAGAAACAAGCCGGGACCACCTACTAGTGGAAATAATAGCTGATGCCATGCTCAGCGCTGCAACATCAGATGAGGAGAAAGCCCGTATCGTAGCAGTGGGTTCCCCCCATGCAGGAGACTTCCTTCTGCCAGACTCCCTTCGTGTAGCAGTGGCCCTCCGCCTTGGTGCCCCAACTCACACTGAATACGGGTGTATTTGCAACAGGGTGGAAGCAGACCAATATAGACTGCATGGGTTGCATTGCGGAAGCACAAAGGGCTGGCATGCAAGACACAACGAGGTTAATGACATCATCAAGAAGAGCCTTGCCTCAGCTCAGTGCCCAGCGGAGAGAGAGCCTCGCATCTTAGGGGAACAAAACCCGAATGACCCCGCACTTCGCCCAGACGGCATCACAATATACACCTGGAAAAGGAGCAGACAGATGGTGTGGACACATGTGTATCCACCCTCACTGATACACTGCGGTGTTGATCAAAGCAGGTGGTGCGACCAACAACAGAGAAACAGCAAAATCAATCAAGTACAGGCGACTGGAAGGTAGAACAAGGCTTTGTTCCCATAGCGTCTGAAATACACGGCCCCTAGGGGTAAGAGCACCTTGGGATTCCTCAAATAATTGGGTTCTAGGCTCATTGACATCATCAGAGACCCAAGGGCTGCCAGTTTCTTGTTTCAGCGCCTCAGTGTGGCGATCCAGAGGGGAAACGCCTCCTGCGTCCTCGGTTCCTGTCCAAAAGCGGAGGAGCTCCATGAGATCCATAACCTTTAAGCACTCATTGTATTAACTATTGTACATCTTGTAACCTTCAAATATCTAATATATATATGTGTGTTTGTGTGTATGTTTTTTCCGTGTATATATCTACCCAAGTGCACAAACACGAACGTGTTTGTGCACCTTGGATTCTTTGTCGTGTGTGTGTATGAATTACGTAGTTTTTATGTAAGAGAAAGAGAAAGAGAGAGAGAGAGAGAGAGAGAGAGAGAGAGAGAGAGAGAGAGAGAGAGAGAGAGAGAGAGAGAGAGAGAGAGAGAGAGAGAGAGAGAGAGACAGACAGAGAGAGAGAGAGAGAGAGAGAGAGAGAGAGAGAGAGAGAGAGAGAGAGAGAGAGAGAGAGAGAGAGAGAGAAGGGCGGGAGGGTGAAAGAGAGAAGTTAGTTGCGTTCCGGGACCCTCGCCATTAGCCACTGGCTAAAAACAATTCTATATTACTTAAACCTTTCCAGATTCTTTCGCCAGAATGGCTAAACCAGAATTCCTGAACTTGCACTAGGCTTTACGTCCCTTGACCTCTATGTCAAAACACCTATCCCTCTTTACCCAAATACAGACAGGCATCTGTGTACAACAAAATCTTACAGGAGTATAATTTGAGTTTGTTAAGAATACAGTGTGTTCAAAAGTTTTAGAGGCCGTCACACGCATGCGCACTACATTCCCGCCACATCCTCTCGTGTTTGTGAAGGTTGAGGCGGGGGGCAAAGGGAACGCACACTGTAGCCGATTGTATTTCATAATACAGTGTTGTATTGTGTTGCTGATGCGTTGAGCACCTTGCCGGGCTGGGAATGTTCGATAGTGGGATCCGTGCCATGTCTTCGGGGGACTGCGGCGGTGCCCATGTTGATCCGTTGGCGGTTGGACCAACGGTCGCCAGGGATTCAAGATCCGCGTCGAGGGATATGTCCAGGAAATTTAAAACAGAATGGTTGACCCTCTTTCCTTGGGCGTTCGTCGAGAACGAGGCGGTTTTCTGCAGGATATGTCTTAAGACTAATCAGAAGAACGTGTTCACGACTGGGAAACCCGTTGGCATACGGCCGAAGAAGGACGATTTTGTGAAGCACGAACAAGGAACCGGTCACAAGTATGCGTTCGTGGCCACCTTCGAGGGGAGTGGTGGAGATGTAACGGTGGAAATGAAGGCTGGGGGCCAGGAGCAAGAGCACAAGACGCTACAGAGGACGGCGGCTCTCAATGGAGATATAGAAGAGGTCCATTTCATGGCTCCCATTTTCGGACTCTCCAGCCAACAGGTGAGACATACAGGGTGACCTGTAGTTCAGTTGTTACTGCAGTCGGGTCATACCAAACTGGATTTTTTTCAATTTCTTTATTATGCACCCCATACCCATCCCGTGGGCGGTGGTGTAAAGGATTACAGAGGCACATAATCGGTTCAGGAACTGAGCTCTCTAGTTCGTTTAGCTAAGCAAATAACAATGACGCTAGTTACACAATTAATGTTATATATACATGTACACATATACATACATGTACATATATATACATATACATATATACACATATACATATATACACATATACATACATATTCAATCACATACACACATCAATAATCTTTTGTATCACAAGTGATTCAACGAACGAGTTCTGTTGTAACACCTACCGGTGCCTGACCTCATTCTCTCTGTTCTATGCCCATAAGAACACTTGTGAACAGGATTTGTGAGCAGTCTCAAAATTGTTATAGATTTTAGACAGTTCTATAAGTGAAGAGCTGGGCTGACCTCTAGCACAATATAGGCTCAATATTAACACTGCTCTGTCGCAGGTTGCATTCTGGGGGAAGATGAGTTGATGAACTGTGGATGCTTCTGTTCACCTACCCGTAAACAGGTACTCTTGGGAGTCAGTCAACTGTTGTGTCTGGCATCCTGGGGGAAACCAGATCGCTAGTCTAGGCTAATCGGGGCACATTATACTATTAAACAAAGTGCAAATGTTTTCTAGCAAATCAGAACTGAATTATATTTGACTTTGATTTGTCTGTCAAAGTAGTCGGTAGTGACTGAATGTGTTAATTGTCTTAAGTTTAACTATTATTTTAAAGTATTTGAGAGAGTGATCAGGACTCAGGTCCCCAGTTTCATGATGTACAATGCCCCAGACACAAGCCAGGCCAACATGGATTTAGAGCGGGAAGATCATGCCTCTCAGCTTAAAGGGAAGATCATGCCTCTCAGCTTAAAGGGAAGATCATGCCTCTCAGCTTAAAGGGAAGATCATGCCACTCACCTCAAGGACCCAAATACTCATGATAAGAACATAGGAATATAGGAAACTGTAGGTTTGTTGGCCTATACGATGCAGCTCCTCTATATATCCCCCAAACTCGTTCATACTGCTTCTCCTTATTTTACTTCATTTAAACATTTATGTATCATTTTCTAAACTCTGAGGTGGCTTCTGTGCCTCGACGTTAAATGACCACACACTAGAAGGTGAAGGGACGACGACATTTCGGTCCGTCCTGGACCATTCTCAAGTCGATTCAAGTCGATACTTTAGCCACGTTATTGTGACTCATCGCCTGCATGACCTCAAGAGATTTAGTGTTAAGCTACAATCATGTTAGGGACAGGATGCCGGTCGACCGAGCGGACAGCACGCGGGACTTGTGATCCTGTGGTCCTGGGTTCGATCCCAGGCGCCGGCGAGAAACAATGGGCAGAGTTTCTTTCACCCTATGCCCCTGTTACCTAGCAGTAAAATATGTACCTGGGTGTTAGTCAGCTGTCACGGGCTGCTTCCTGGGGGTGGAGGCCTGGTCGAGGACCGGGCCGCGGGGACACTAAAAGCCCCGAAATCATCTCAAGATAACCTCAAGATGAACTGTGAGCCAGTTATGTGCCAGAGGCTTCATGTGATTGGTTGGCTGGATTTTATGTGTATGTGTTTCAGCAAAATATGTTCCGAATGTGAATCAGCTTAGAAATGAATGTTTGCCGATGGTGAATAACCGTCCACTTGGGCCAGGCGGGAAAGTGTGTAAACATTGCTCTTATACATGACAGTAAAGTTGCCGACATCTTTTCGGTGTTGAAGTCTCTGATGGACCACGCGATCAAAACAGGACAGGACAGGGCTGGAGGGCAGACAGAGAGTACCTAACATACGGGAAACAAAGACGAATATTGAGGTAAATAATCTTGGTCAAGGGTAACAAGCGGTTCTCTGAAAATGACCACAACCATCGGGTAGTACATTTTGACACCCCCTAGATAATGAAAGACTTGAATCGGAGCAAGACCAATACTATATAAGGACCTAGGCCTGGTCAGAGACTGGGGTGCAGGGCGGCATTGATCCTCGGAACCACGTCTAGGTAGCTAGAATTCAACAGTATATTGAACACTGCCTACATGAGACAAGTCCTCAAATTCCAGCTCCTTATCATATCCCAGCTCCTTACCCTCATATCCCAGCTCCTTATCATCATATATGCTTACTGAGTTGACGAAAAAGCACTCTTCAGCTCCAAGACAGATCAGAAAAGAACACAATTTTGTTTTAAACACATCAGACGAACAAAAATGATCACTAAACACATGTGTCTAGCGATAATTTATATTCGACTCATCAGATAAACAAACGTTATCACTAAACTCATCAAACGACAGATAACTGTCGCTACAGAAACTAGACGAACAAAACTTGAGGCTAAATAAGTTCGCGCCCAATCAGCGAGTGGGGGCGAATGGCTTTTAGCTAGCAAAAAATAAACCTTCCATCTGATTAAAATGGGTTTCAAGAGGCAGTAATAGATCCTATAGGCATCTCAAGTTGATTAAGTTTAATTAATCAACTGTTGCTAAGTATGGGAGGTAATTTTCCTAGTTTTTCTCTTATATCTTCATTTATAACAATGAGATGTTAGTTCTATGCTCTCAGACTCTCTCTCCACTCTTATCGGAGTGCCAGGGTACCCAGTGGTCTAATCCGAGTGTCAGAGCACAGGCAACTCTTATCGGTCATTACCTATTAACGGACTAAATAAAACACAGACATCCGTTTTTTGTTTTTTTTGGGTTATTGAATTTAAAAGTTTACCCTTTACAATATAATGGAAACGTTTTCTCCTTTCACCCGTTTTCGAATTCAAACGTTGTTGCCTAGGCAACAGTGACGCTATGTCTGTTTACAAATCAAGTTGCCTAGGCAACAGTGACGCTATGTCTGTTTACAACTCAAGTTGCCTGGGCAACAGACACCATGTCTGTTTACTAATCAACGGGGGTTTTAAGTTCTGCCCTTTAGGCTAGTCCAGCAGTTCGCGATTGGGCCCTGACAAGCCGTTTAGGGGAAACCTTGCACCTAATTGGTCACTGTGTTACCTTGTATATAGCTGTCACGGCTCTTTACTTTCACTGGAGTGAAGAGTTATTTTGCTCTTTACTCCCCAGGGATAAAGAGCTGTTTTGCTCTTCGCCTCTCTCATGGGTGAAGAGCTGCTCTCCTCTATACTTCTCTTGGATTGGTATTATGACTTATGGATGAGGCAATGTCAAACCAGTTATTACCAATGGATCACATTACATTTGATGGAGTTGAATTCAAACAGCCACTTGGTGTTCGTGGCGACCTGTTCTGCTGTGTATGTGTGCGCGCGCAATAAAGATTTAAAAATGTTAAAAATAGCTGTAGAAAACTAGAAAGAATAAAGAGCAAAAATGTACGAATGTAAAGATGAGAGAGAGAGAGAGAGAGAGAGAGAGAGAGAGAGAGAGAGAGAGAGAGAGAGAGAGAGAGAGAGAGAGAGAGAGAGAGAGAGAGAGAGAGAGAGAGAATGTGTTAGCAGAAATAACCAAACATCAAATATGATCCCAGTAATCGACTCACAGAGAGAGAGATTGACTTTTAAGGATGAATTGGGCAAATTTAGACAGAAAGGAAAATTAGAGCACTGAGGGGAAAATTATCCGGTGATGTTGCTGTTGTGTAACACAATGGTTCAAGTCATTAGCTGTGGAGGAGGTGATTAGACGAAGAGAAGGGGATAATGAGAGACAGGGGGGGGGGAGGGGTAGTGAGAGACAAACAGAGACAGATAGAATACATAAAATGACCATAATCTAGCCGACAGACCACTTCACCCCTAGACGTATATGAACGCAATTTACAAATAAAATCCTGAACCCCCATTAGAAAAATAAACCAGATTTTTAATTTAAATTAACGAGGCTATCAGCTCTTTGCCTGTAGAATTTCTCACGACAATTCTAGCAATAGTCCTGTAGAAGCCTAGTGCTTAGCAAACGATAAAAAAAATGCATATTGTTTAATCTAGATGAATCCTTCACTTCCACAGGGGCATAAGCGCCTGAGCAGAAGTCAGAAATCCGGTTACTAGCACCTCGAATGTCGGTACCCAGAGGTCAGAATAGGGAGGAAGGTTGTGGCATACGCCTCTTAGCCTAGAGAGGGGAGGAGGGAAAGGGAGGTTTCAGAAGAAAGTGGAATACAAAACAAGAAAGGGGGGGAAGGATAGATGGTAGGGGTGAAAGAGGGTGTGTGGGGAGGATGATGTACCCGTCAGGGGTGGCGTAGGTAGGGGGGAGATGGGGTGATTGTTAGTGGTGTGTGTGTGTGTGTGTGTGTGTGTGTGTGTGTGTGTGTGTGTGTGTGTGTGTGTGTGTGTGTGTGTGTGTGTGTGTGAGGGGTGTGTGTGGGGGTCAGAGAGCCTGGCTAGTTCTCACATCGTCCACCAGATGGCTGTTCTCTCCAGCCGAAGTTCAAAATTTTCTTCAAGTATCTATATGAACACAACGGCTCGTGAGGCTACTGTTTCCTGTAGGTCGTCAGTGCTAAGACATCATTTTAGGGGTCCTGGAAGATCCTTTCCTGGAACAAACGCTTCCAGGAGGGAGTTCCAGCATTGATCAGAGGTTTCATCAAGGCGCCGGGCGGCCGAGGCTAGGCTACACCCACGCCCTCACTAATACTATGACAATTTCAAAATGAAAACGCTCAGAGCTTCATTTGAGAGCATCTTAACCCTTCATACAACATATAATCTGAGCTTCGAATAACAGTAAGAGAGAGATAGAGTTTTATTATACAAACTTTCAAAGCCGGTGAACCGTATTATTGATTCCAGGGCTGCCAACCCCGAGGTCGACACGACAGGGGTGCCATCCTCGCGCTGATAGCTTGAAGGACATCTATTGCAACTCTTTTTCTACAGTCAGGTCAAGCTGGCCTAGCGACACGACTCGTAGCGATCAGAGTTTGTGTTCCGCTTCATAATAGTCGTAAACTCGAATTGCTTGGTGAGGGGTAACAGAAATTACTTATATGAGTTTCCACGGAAGACTGTTGATATTAACATTAAACTGTGTAATGGGCTTATCAAGACTGTAACTCGTTCAGCTAGATGAATTTGGGGGTTTAGTTCTTGAGTTTATAATGCGTCCTTGTGTAACTTTTCCCACAGCATGGGTATGAGGTCCAACACCATCACCCACAGCATGGGTATGAGGTCCAACACCATCACCCACAGCATGGGTATGAGGTCCAACACCATCACCCACAGCATGGGTATGAGGTCCAACACCATCACCCACAGCATGGGTATTGGGTCCACTAACATCACCCTCAAAGTCGGCAAAGGGTCCACTACCACCCACAACATAGGCATGATATGCATAATTAAAAATATCTCAAGCTTATACCACGGAAAGATAATTGTGAATATTGTGTTTCTTAAATCCTAGAGAAGCTGTTAGCCTATCATATTTAGCAAAGTCGAATACAACTTAGAATTGCCAGTAGTGTATTGAAGCGCTAACATACATCAGTAACTTGGAGTCTATCCCTACGCATTAGGGATAGGCTATAAGTCTATAGCTCATGAGTCTTATGGACTAGGAGTCCATCCCTATGCAGAGTTTGGGTCTAAATATACGCAGGACAATTGGAAACTAAAACAAGACACAAAGAAGATGTGTCACTTCAGAAATTGGTTCAGCTGAACATAAGTTTTAAACCGCGCTCAATGTCGCCCGCGCGAAGAACGGCTGGCCAATCAGTGCTCAGGACCGACTCATCCTCGCCCGCGCGAAGAGTGGCCAGCCAATCAGAGCTCAGAACTGCGCCGCCGCAACCACTCAGCATCCAGAACCTTCGATCCAGCAGAGTTTTCAGCCCTCGCTTTCCTGCAAGAAGCGACCTGGAACTCGAAGAAAGGGCATCCAACATTCTGGAAGGTGAGCGAATGTTGAGAGCTTCGGGCTGCCTTCTCGGGGGGTCCACCAGCGGTCCCAGAACCCCAAGAAGACGCCGGAGGTCCTGTTGAAGATCCAAGGAGGAGACGTTAGGATAAAACCCCTGTTGAACCCATAATACACTACGCATGACAAATTTTTGTATAGATTTCCAGGAGGTTAGCAAGGATAGAGCTCTGCACAAGGATAGGTTACGAGGCCGCAAAGTTCCCCGGACGAAAAGCACGAGGAAGTTCACGAGGCAGAAAGATCATGACATAGGAAGTCATGAAGAAGAAAGGTCAAGAAGGAAGGTCATGAAAGAAAGGCGTGAAAAGAATTTATCTTAAGAAAATTCATATATGTTTTTTACTGTATTGATAACCTGAATCAACGCGGATAAAGCCTCCCTCCTCCTACGAGGACAACGTCAAGGTCTCTTCAACCAGGAAGACGCAAGGTTAAAGTTTCTCTTCATCCAGGAGGACGCAAGGTTAAAGTTTCTCTTCATCCAGGAGGACGCAAGGTTAAAGTTTCTCTTCATCCAGGAGGACGCAAGGTTAAAGTCTCTTCATCCAGGAGGACGCAAGGTTAATTTCTCTCTTCATCCAGGAGGACGCAAGGTTAAAGTCTCTCTTCATCCAGAAGGACGCAAGGTTAAAGTCTTTCTCCATCCAGGAGGACGCAAGGTTAAAGTCTTTCTCCATCCAGGAGGACGCAAGGTTAAAGTCTCTCCATCCAGGAGGACGCAAGGTTAAAGTCTCTCTCCATCCAGGAAGACGCAAGGTTAAAGTCTCTCCATCCAGGAGGACGCAAGGTTAAAGTCTCTCTTCATCCAGGAGGACGCAAGGTTAAAGTCTTTCTCCATCCAGGAGGACGCAAGGTTAAAGTCTTTCTCCATCCAGGAGGACGCAAGGTTAAAGTCTCTCCATCCAGGAGGACGCAAGGTTAAAGTCTCTCTCCATCCAGGAAGACGCAAGTTTAAAGTCTCTCCATCCAGGAGGACGCAAGGTTAAAGTCTCTCTCCATCCAGGAGGACACAAGCTGAAAGTCTCTTTATCCAGAAGAACTGACAACAGTTGAAAGAGCAAGAGAGAGATATGAAGGAATCGTCTCTGCACCACGCTTTATCTCTGAGCATACGAGACTGGATGATCCCCTGGGCGGACGACTTCCCTCCCGGAGCTCTGGGGACACACCAAGGTGAATATGCCAGTCCCCAGCTTACAGGGCAAGTGGCGCTTTGCTGGAGTGGTAGTTAATGCAGGAACCACCACCTACGTCACCGCACTGCTGGTATGAGAGAGAGAGAGAGAGAGAGAGAGAGAGAGAGAGAGAGAGAGAGAGAGAGAGACCTTATGAGGGGATTTTGAACACCAGGTGTTTAAAGCTACAGCAGAAGATCAAAGTCTCCTAAAACGTCTCAGGACGTTTGTGACTCTTCTGGTGATGTAGTTTGGATTCCCTTTAAGCTGAGCAGCAGACAGTGGAGACTCCATTGAATGATGCTACTGAATTCTTCATATCTTTCTTTCCCTACGATCTGTGACAGATGCGACCACGGATGCCTGTTGCTGGGGCAGTGTCTCCTGTGTTGGTTGACATAAACTACAGGGCGGCGAATGGTTACCCTGATGGGGTAACTCTTCAGTTGAGAAGCGACCATTCTGCCTGGCCGCAGTTACGCAAGCACTTACGAACGTGTACATCTGTCCTCAATCTTTGACGGCTTTGGTTACATTTATTAGACAGTTTACAGGCATGAAAACTTGCCAATCAACTGTTGTTATTATAAACAGCCTCCTGGTGCTTCGGAGCTCATTAACTGTTTAATAATTGGAAACAAAGCCGCCAAAGATTGAGAAAAGATGGACAGGTTCGTAAGTGCTTGCGTAACTGCTTCATGAATCTGGCCTTTTGTCTCTAATATATAAATACATTAAGAGGAAGCTGAAACGATCAAAATTAGACTAAATAAAGAGTAATATATATGAGACGGAATAACCAATACATTCTAAATATCCAGTTTTGTCTCGGTTCAAGTCCTAATCAGAGAGGATTAACTGGGCACCAATTCGTAGCAGTTCGCCCCTATTCAACCAGCAGTAATTATATACCTGAGTGTTAACCGATTTGGTGGTCGTGTTCCAGGGAAAACTAGTAGGGTAAGACTTACCATGAGTTATGGTAATGGGAATAAGCAGGTAACAGCCTGTTAACAGGAGTCAGAAGCCGTCTACTCATGTACCGACCTGCCTAAAACTAGTAGGGTAAGACTTACCATGAGTTATGGTAATGGGAATAAGCAGGTAACAGCCTGTTAACAGGAGTCAGAAGCCGTCTACTCATGTACCGACCTGCCTAAAACTAGTAGGGTAAGACTTACCATGAGTTATGGTAACGGGAATAAGCAGGTAACAGCCTGCTAACAGGAGTCAGAAGCCGTCTACTCATGTACCGACCTGCCTAAAACTAGTAGGGTAAGACTTACCATGTACTATGGAAAGATAAAGCTCTCAGCTTAATAGCAGGAGTCTGAAAACGCAAATATGTTTCACTGTTTCAATATTCATTTAGACATGATTCGCAATTCAGTCCGTTTACTTTAGTTACCTAAGTTTACCTGAGGGACACTCTCTCTCTCTAGTGGTCTCGATGAGGACAGGAATCCGGCGGCTTGTCAAAGGTCCAACTATATGTCCTGAGGATTTTATCGAACTTTGTCTTGAAGTGCAGTAGTGTCTTGGCCTTTTGGGCTTCGGCGGGTAGGCGGTTCCAGACTATGAATGAAGTGGCATCTCTTGTTGTCTGTCCTACACTGTGGCTTGTTGAGCTGGACACTGCCGCTCCTTGTTTGTGTTACATCTGATTTGTTATCATAGTTGTCTGGGTCAGTTAGTTTAGTTCATTTATTATGCACCCCATACCCATCTTGTGGGCGGTAGTGGAAAGGGTTACAGAGGCACATCTACCAGAAATTTTAGCCAAATATCCCCAGTTTGGTAACTGTAGGTAGTAACTAAGTGATTGTAACATATCCACCGCTGCCCACTGGATGGGGGGGGGGGGCGGTGTGCAGGACAAACATATCCACCGTGACACTAGCTCTCCACATATGTCAGTTGCTTAACTTAGAAACTGTACTTGTGGTCGATCTCGAACCCATTGTTGATGTGACGACTTATACTGAATTTTGTAACTAGCTCATCAAGATTGTAACTTGCTTAGTTGTGTGTGTGTGTGTGTGTGTGTGTGTGTGTGTGTGTGTGTGTGTGTGTGTGTGTGTGTGTGTGTGTGTGTGTGTGTGTTCGAGGCTGGGGAGCAGACACCTGGGACTACCATCATTAAGCTTCCCATGATTGATGGTGATTTTATTAGGAGTGTGAAAGGGGGATGGATCGGTGTCGACCCAATGCCCACCTCAAGGGGGGGGGGAGGACATGACTCCTGTCCTCATCAAAATAGCATCAGAGACCCTTTGGATCAAATGACAAATGTGCACTTGAGTTTCTGCCGGGCCCAAGGGCAAAGAGTTTCTTGTTCCAGCGCCTCAGTGTGACGATCTAGAGGGGGAACACTTAATGTTTTGTGTTCACATATCTGGAATAGTTTTTGAACACTAATGTAAAATGTATCTTGCAAGTTACAACACACACACACACACACACACACACACACACACACACATTATATATATATTTTAAAATTCCTTGATTAAAATTTGGACACAATATTAATAAAAATCATATTACAAATCACGTTAGCATTTTTCACTTACCTTGTCGTTGCCTTTTAGGAAACTGGAGGTGGTTCTGGCAGAGAAAATTGGACAGAAGAAGAAAACCGAACGGAAATCAAATTTGAAGAACCGGATCCTTCGCCTGGCAGCGACGACGCAATGGAGGACCCGGCAGCCACTACCCCTTTGGAAGTTGTCGTACCGCTCCTGCCCGCCGACGGCCAGCACGGAGCTGCCGAACCAGAGATCGCCAGCAACAAGATGACGGAGAGGAACAAAGTGTCAAGTCGAGAAGATGAGTTCTACCAGTTTGGTGTGAACGTTGGGTGTCAACTAAGGGCCATGCCGTTAAGGGCAGCGCTTGAGGCCCAGCTGGAGATTCAGCGAGTGCTGACGATTAGGCGTTTAGAGTGCTTGGAGTAGTGGGGGTGGGATGGGGGGAAAGGGTTCAGAGTGAAAGGTCTGGACGCACTCAAACCCCGCCGCTTGAGGTGAATCAGTCCTTATAGAGAGTACCGGAGGGACTCGCCAATCAATGCCAACTCATTTCACTCATGTCACACGCCAACGTAACTCATTTTTCATTCATTTTCTCCGTGTCATTTTTATGGTCATTTAATCCACAAGCAGAATTAAGCGTATAAATAAAGGCATTGAAATGCGCTTAGTATTAGAGGTTTAAACCTATCAAGCTGAATTTTTACTTGAGCTTAGGGCAAAGTAAATGCTTTTCCTCTTGAGAGATTTTGAGTTTATCCAACTATTGTGAGTTTATCCAAGTATTGTTGTGAGAATGTGAGTTTATCCAACTCACAATTTAGATGAAAGATTGTTACAAAGAATATAAAGCAAGTATAAGAGTATATTTAATCATTGTTGTGAGTTATGATTATATTCAGTCACTCTTGTGACTTGAGAGTGTCATTAACTGAGTGCATTAACGGCACAAACGCCTGTGAACTGAATACATCAATGACATTTTCTGGGTCATTACTGTGCCCGTCTTGGAACCACTACTGTGCTCATCATACCATACCGTACCTTGCGGTGGTTCCGGGATTCAAGGTACCCGCGGCCCGGTCTCTCACCAGGCCATAGACTCATTACGAAATATGTTTTGTTAGGAAAATACTGTTTGTCGTATATAACTTTCTTAAAAGAATAGATGCACTTCGTAACCGAAGATAACGCAAGGTTGTAAGACGTTAATCACCTTGTTTGATAGTGTATTTATTATTTGTGCCTGAAGGATTGAGCTGTTAGCTCTTGGACCCCGCCTTTCTGTCTCCCGATCTATCATGTTCTATCCTATCCCTGCCCTATTGCGTATATTTCTCTCTGACATCTCTGACATACATACATACATACATACATACATACATACATACATACATACATACATACATACATACATACATACATACACACATACACACATACACACTCATCCCGGGGATGTAGCCCACAGCAGCTGTCTAAATGCAAGATATTATTTTACTTCTAGGTGAACAGAGGGATCAGGTGAAAGCATTTCTGCCCATTTATTTCTGCCACGTGCCGGGAATCAAACCCGGGTCCGTGGACTGCGACTTCCATCTGAGTTTGGGTACAAGTACACAGGATGAGTGACGCTGCCCAATACTGTCACTATGGCGGTGTGTCCACTCACAGGATGAGTGACGCTGCCCAATACTGTCACTATGGCGGTGTGTCCACTCACAGGATGAGTGACGCTGCCCAATACTGTCATTATGGCGGTGTGTCCACTCACAGGATGACTGGCGCTGCCCAATACTGTCACTATGGCGGTGTGTCCACTCACAGGATGAGTGGCGCTGCCCAATACTGTCACTATGGCGGTGTGTCCACTCACAGGATGAGTGGCGCTGCCCAATACTGTCACTATGGCGGTGTGTCCACTCACAGGATGAGTGGCGCTGCCCAATACTGTCACTATGGCGGTGTGTCCACTCACAGGATGAGTGGCGCTGCCCAGTACTGTCACTATGGCGGTGTGTCCACTCACAGGATGAGTGGCGCTGCCCAATACTGTCACTATGGCGGTGTGTCCACTCACAGGATGACTGGCGCTGCCCAATACTGTCACTATGGCGGTGTGTCCACTCACAGGATGAGTGGCGCTGCCCAATACTGTCACTATGGCGGTGTGTCCACTCACAGGATGAGTGGCGCTGCCCAATACTGTCACTATGGCGGTGTGTCCACTCACAGGATGAGTGGCGCTGCCCAATACTGTCACTATGGCGGTGTGTCCACTCACAGGATGAGTGACGCTGCCCAATACTGTCACTATGGATAATGCTTTCTAATTGAATGTTTTATGTTTTCTAATGAAAACAGTACAGTATCCCCTTAGACAAGTACTTGAAGTAGCTTGATGCTTTCTCCTGTTGGAGATTAGCCTCGCCCAAACTGCTTCCTGATCTCAGGCTTAGGTTCGTGTGGTCTTTAACGACCGGGTTGCGTAGTTGTCCTATTCAACCAGGTCGTTGTGACCCCTTCAACCAGGTCGTTGTGACCCCTTCGACCAGGTCGTTGTGACCCCTTCAACCAGGTCGTTGTGACCCCTTCGACCAGGTCGTTGTGACCCCTTCGACCAGGTCGTTGAAGCTTTTTTTTTTTTTTACCTTTTAGTGATAAAGAACTATTTCGTTTTCTATGGGGGAACTTTAATAAAAAAAACTTTGCTTTTTCAACTGAAATCTAAATCCAAGAAAACTGATGTGATTTAGTTTTTAGGCATGTGGGTGGTTTTTAAACGTATGAGTGGTTTTTAAACGTATGAGTGGTTTTTAAGCGTGTGGGAAGGTTTTTAAGCGTGTAGGAAGGTTTTTAAGCGTGTAGGAAGGTTTTTAAGCGTGTAGGAAGGTTTTTAAGCGTGTAGGAAGGTTTTTAAGCGTGTAGGAAGGTTTTTAAGCGTGTAGGAAGGTTTTTAAGCGTGTGGGAAGGTTTTTAAGCGTGTGGGAAGGTTTTTATGCGTGTGGGAAGGTTTTTAAGCGTGTAGGAAGGTTTTTAAGCGTGTAGGAAGGTTTTTAAGCGTGTGGGAAGGTTTTTAAGCGTGTAGGAAGGTTTTTAAGCGTGTAGGAAGGTTTTTAAGCGTGTAGGAAGGTTTTTAAGCGTGTGGGAAGGTTTTTAAGCGTGTGGGAAGGTTTTTAAGCGTGTGGGAAGGTTTTTAAGCGTGTGGGAAGGTTTTTAAGCGTATAGGAAGATTTTTAAGCGTGTGGGAAGGTTTTTAAGCGTATAGGAAGATTTTTAAGCGTGTGGGAAGGTTTTTAAGCGTGTAGGAAGGTTTTAAGCGTGTGGGAAGGTTTTTAAGCGTGTGGGAAGGTTTTTAAGCGTGTGGGAAGGTTTTTAAGCGTGTGGGAAGGTTTTTAAGCGTGTGGGAAGGTTTTTAAGCATGTGGGAAGGTTTTTAAGCGTGTGGGAAGGTTTTTATGCGTGTGGGAAGATTTTTAAGCGTGTAATTTAAGCGTGCAATTACATTTATAATTATATTAAATATATTAAGTCATATATTTATATATATTCATATATAAATATAACTAAAATATTTACATATTGTTAGATATTTATAAAACCGATCTACGACTTTTTCTTAAATTTCATATTTCCATTCTATCTTTTTAAATGAAATATACTAAAAAAAAATATTCACTTTGAAAGAAAATTCAAAATTTGACCCTTTTGAGTCATTAAAAATAACGGGTAAAATGTTACAATTCTGTCTTGATATTTTTTTTTTGTTATCCATGGCGCGTTTCCCTAAAGCACTCTTCAGCATCTTCAGAGGCAGAGGGAATGCTAGTACAACACGATGAGGGGAACAGTTAACTAAACGAGGGGAGTGTGTGTGGTCGTGTCCTGCTTTGTGATTGGTGATTGGGGAGAGAGAGCGGGTAGGTTGTAGACAAGTAACTCTGTCTTGATCTTATAAATGATGATTTCCAAGATGAAGCTGGAAATAGCGGACAGAGTAACTACCACTGTATGCAGCCATTACCATGGCAATCTGCCAGCATCATAACCATAGCAACCAGCCACCGTAACTACCTTGAAAATGTAATTATACAATTATCATAGCAAATAACATCACCAACAACCCAGTTAGCGTGACAGTCTAATATGACTGAGTAAACTACTTGTTTAAACCAATTAGAACCCCCCACCCCGCCGCCCCTTTCCTTTATTTCCCCCCCCCCAATTTGTCCCCCCCCCCCATCCCTACCCTTAATTAGAACCCCCCTCTTTCCTTATAATTCGAACACTCACCTCATCTCACGCAAAATTAGAACCCCCCTCAACCCTCAATGCAAATCCCCCCCCACTAAAATTTCTCCCCCTCCCCCCCCCAAACGACCCCCACTCTAATCCGAACTCCCCCCCCCCCGCCCCCCTCACAAGACATGGTAACCGAAGGTGTGACAAGCCGCTTAAGAACACCAATTCGGATACCCCATCCGGTCGCGTGGGTTGTGGGGGTGGGGGGGTAGGGGCCAGGCAGCCGGCCTGTGCAACCTGTGCAACAGGTGTGTGTGTGTGTGCGTGTATTTGCGTGCATTGCACTCCGTCGAGTGGACGTAATCCTTCTTACTCTGTTCAACCCCCCCCCCCCTCCCCTCCGTAGCACATCGGTCAACACCGGAAAGGACCCGGGTTCGATCCCCCGGGGCAGGATAGATCGAAACGTTTGGGCATGTTTCCGATCCTCCCGCCTCCCTGACGTGTCTGTTCACCTACAGGCTTCCTGTCCAGGACAATGTTACTCAGTGAGGCACACAAATGGAGATAATGGCCCTTACGGCTTAGCGGCGGAAGGGTGGTTATCCTGTGGTGGATTATATCCGGCTTGATTATGTCCGGACACTTGGGCTTGGTGGAGGAGGTCGCTGGCGCCGTATCCGGCCACCTGCCGGTGATATTCAGGTATCCGGCTGTAAGGTAAATCTTTGACGAGCCGGATATAAGATGTCAGGGAAGGGGCGAAGGGGAAGGGGGTAAGGGAGCATTAACTGGTAGGGGAAAGGATAGAAAGGGAGCAGATGGAAAGGATATGGGATGGGACGGTGGAAAGAAGTAGTGCCCAACCACTTGGACGGTTGGGGGATTGAACTCCGACCTGCAATAAACGAGACCCCTCGCTCTACCAGCCCAAACGGTTTGACAAGGGGGAAGAATCCGGTAAATACAGCTTTCAGGTGAACAGGTGAATGAGGTGGACTCCACCTTGGTTAAGCCGACAGTAGACACAAAGCCGAAATAACAGTCAAGTGACCCCACGAGAGTAGGCGAGCAATCATTATTAAAACAGCGACGGACGAATAACATTCCCAATCAGACTTCTCGATGAGCACCTGAACGGCGTTATGATTTGCATGCAGTGAACGGCTCTGACATTGCCAGCCCCCCACAGTACATTCACACGCTCTAGACCAACACACTCATCGCTATTCCCAAGGTTTATTAACTATTAACTCTTTTTACCACCTACCTGCACTTGGGTTCCATCCCTGAGAGAGAGAGAGAGAGAGAGAGAGAGAGAGAGAGAGAGAGAGAGAGAGAGAGAGAGAGACCACTGACATACACCACTAAAAGAGAGAAACTAGCAAGCCTCATGAGTTCAAATCTCAATGTTTATATCCAAGAATGATAAGCTTAATGTAGATATTTTGTGCAAAGACAGAAATAAGTTGCATTGTAAAGGTCAGAACAGCTTGAACT